CCAATCAGACGTCATTCAATGATGTTTCAACTAAGGCTGAGCAAGTACTCTGCTGTAACGAGTTTAGATGATGTACTTTTTCCGAGTACGAGTTTCAAACGAGCAAAATGTCTAAATATCTGTACTCGTTCTGTTAATAGTTCTTTTACTCCTGTGATTTTGAAGGTCAATTCTGTAAATACTTTTCTAATAAATATACTTTTGATCCACCCATATCAATTTAAGTTCAAATGAACAACTTTCACTTAGTCCCGCCCACTTCACCTGCACAACCCATGTCCGCATTAAACCCCACACATTCTGAGTACGGACACAAATACAGATAATTTAGTTGGTTGAACAGATACAGATAAGTGGACTCGCTCATCCCTAGTTTCAACAATAAAGCTACGACAGTCAGACCCTTACCGGCTCCAGTCCATAGAAAGCATTCACTGTTTGCTGATTTGTGCCACCGGTTTGTCTTTAGACTGTGTTTTCTGCTCCAGTTGGGAAACTTTCCAATTAATTCTAATTACATTATATTATTCAATTTCCTGGTTTCCTTCCTACTTTAGTATTTCAGGATTGTTACTTTTCTCTCATGGAACAGTGCCACTTATGTATATGCTGTATATTGTCCTGGGTCAGTGATGCAGATAATGAGTGTAGGTATAATAAGGCTTGTAGAGGAACTCACTGAGGCTGACAGCTGACTCCCGGCCAATATGGAGCTCACTTAAAAGTAACAAGCACAGTCTCTTAACATATTGAAGCCACATTGATTCAAGTCAGCAATCTGTTGTACTTTGATTGCCTGATAAAAGATGCAGTCTATGTTGCTCAACTAATCCTTCTTCACAAATCAAAATCACAAACCCAAGATCAGTAGCAGTGTAAGTTTGGCCCTACTTGGTAGTCCATCGAGTTGTACTAGGAAGTGTGAACCCAGAAAGTCTGCTCTTTGGGTTTTACAGCTCAATTCTTGTTGAAGACAAGGAAATACTTTCTAGGATCTTGCTACTCCAGTACCTTACCATAATTCTTTGTATATTTTGCTAAGGGTTTTCTGTACCCTTAGAGTCAAATTATCTTCATTACAATTATTAGAATTAAAAATAATTATCTTAAATCAAAACTTATCTCCAGAAGAGCTTGTCTCAGGCTCCTGAATGGACAACATACAGCTGCTGGATTAGATCTCTCCTCTACTTGTTTTCACCTCCCATGATATCTGGAGGCAGTGCAGAATAAGGAACGTTTCAAGGTCATGAACTGATCACAAAAAGCCTGTCAACCACTTACCGTGTATTAGAAATATGCAAAATGATTTCACCTTACTGTCAGATCTTTTTCACTGCAAAGCTAGAGCGTATAAAAGGTGACATAAAAGGGATAATTTTTGCAGTGTGTGAAGGAACTGAAGAGCAGATCAACCTGTATTAACATGTAAATCACTTCAGGATGTAGTGCTATCACTCAGAGTTGCACCACTGATTTTAATGATATAGTCCACCCAGAGCCCCCTGTGCTTTATAACTGCACTATCAATTACATTTCTGTGTGAATAGTTCTTCTGATTATTTTCACCCTACTCCCAGACCTTCACTGGAAAGTGCTTTTTGTATCAAATGAATTCCCATTGAGAGCTGACTTGCAGGTGAGGGTAACCTGGACCTTTTCATTTTTAATACATGTCCAATAAGGACACTTACTCATTTTGGAGGATGTAGTTTGTGGTGTTGTTGGACTGTATTGCGTCAGGGAGATGATTCTGTTATACTTAGCTGTCAACTGTCAGTGTGTTTCTCAGCCTTCTTTGAGAGAGTTAGATGAGAATATTGATTCCATCTATAAGTATCCAAATATTTATACTGTAATTATAAAGCTACAGCCAGTGGCTGGTTAGCTTAGCTTAGCGTAAAGACTTGGCTTGGTCCGAAGGTAACAAAATCTGCCATCCAGCACATGGTGTCATTGCCAGGAGGTTGCCAGGCAAGGTTGCAAGTTTGCAGGAAGTCACTGCAGTCTGCCAAGAAATAGTTCAGTCCATAACTCACATAAAACTACAACATTTAGTTTTTCACTATGGTTTTTATACGGACACAACATGTAACAGTTTTGTATGGAAACAACATACACCGATCAGCCATAACATTATGACCACTGGTGAAGTGAGTAACTCTGGTTATCATGGCACCTGTCAGTGGATGGGACATATTAGGCAGCAAGTGAACATTTTGTCCTCAAGTTGATGTGTTAGAAGCACAAAAAATGGGCAGATGTAAGGATTTTAGCGACTTTGACAAGGGCCAAATTGTGATGGCTTGTTGCGTACGGGGCTGCATTACATTATGACCACCAGCGTGCCCAGGTGGTCATAATGTTACGGCTGATCGGTGTATATCGGAGCTAGAATAGCTGTTTCCCCCTATTTCTAGTCTCTATTTCTTCACAGCTGTTCTCACCTATGAGTCATCTCTACCTGCTATTTCAGGCCGAAGTGGATTTAATGGTTTAAAAATACTAATGGGGCGGCACAATGGTGCAGTCGTTAGTGGTTGTCTCCTCACAGCAAGAAGGCTCTGGGTTCAAACCGGGGTCTTTCTGCGTGGAGTGCGTGGGTTTCCTCCCGGTGCTTTTGATTCCTCCCGCAGGTTGCTTGACTCTAAATTGCCCTACGGTGTGAATGTAAGCGTGAATAGTTGTCTGTCACTGTGTGTCAGCCCTGTGATTGACTGGCGACCTGTTCAGGGTGTACCCTGGCTCTAATCCAGTGTCAACTGGGATTGGCTTCAGACCCCCTAGACCCTTAAGGATAAGTGGGTGTACCTGATTAATGGTTGGGTGGAAATACTAATGGACTAATTCACCTGAGTTCACAGGCCAACTTTATTTCATGAAAATTTTGTGTAATATGGTTGATATATTTGGCGACAACTTTCTCTTTTGAATGACAAAATACAGTATATTAAATACCTGAACTCTGGTGCCAAACATTGAGCTATTTATACAGTGGATGAGGCTGTACGTGCATAATGTCATGTCACCATTTCAGCACTTATGTTAACTATGATGATGCTGGTTTCCGTAGAAGCAGCATTTTGGTGACAGGTTTTAAAGGTGCACTTAAGCTTAAGATGTAATGCAGTCCTGATGTGTGTGTGTGTGTGTATGATATAGAATGTAACTGGGTTAATTCAGAGAGTAATGTGAGGTCTGTATTGCTGGAGGCATATGCCATGTGTCCCACGTGCCTGACTTCCAAATGAATCAAGGCTTTTCCACAGTGTTGATGCCACTAGCGAAGTGCATAGGGCTTTTTCAAACACTAAATATTACATCAAATAAGCCTGGCTGTGTCTCTGGTGTCACTAGTGAAAGCAGAATCAGCTTTTCAGGCTCGCAAAAATCTTCATTGCTGATTGTGAATAGACTACTCTAGTGATTCTAAATATAGTTCCCAGCCTGATTTGCAATAGTTCGCAAGAAGAATTTTTAGGTGACTGCAGCCTGAATGGTGCATTTGTTCTGTGCATGAGGTCCTTTTGTCTTTGAAGCATGAAGTGTCAGCAAGTAGTGTGGTGTGTCGACAAATTGCTTACACTCACCCAGCGATGAGTGATTATTATTCAAATATGCAGTAGATATGTTATTATTCAGATATGCAGTGCATATGGTGAGTCCCAGACTGTTTGCATTAGTTGGGATATCATGACTTAGATATACCACTCTGTATATTTACATGGAAGAAATATGACATTGGGTTCTTATGAAATGTCTGTTCCAATTGAGCTTAATGAAGTCAGTGAAATACAATGCTTGTATTTGAATGTTTAATAAGGTGGGACAGATTACAATAACAAGTCATCTCACACCTGCTTTAAATGCTCCCATCTTATTAAATGTTCATGCTGTTGTCTTTAAAGGAATAGTTTGTCATTTGGGAAACTACGTGTTTTGACTTTGCTCTTCAGAGTTAGACATGGAAATTGCTACCGCTCTCAAGCTGCCGTCAAGCTTAGCATACTAGCATAAATACTGGAAACAGGGCTCTGTCTGAAGGTAATAAAATGTTTAAATGAGCGTAAAAAAATCTGGATTATGGTTTTACATTTTGGGTTGTATGTGGGTTTATTTTAATAGATAGTCTAATAAACTGTAGGTCTGGATAAAACTACCGAACAATGTTAATTAGTTGTCTTGATTATATTTTTAACAGCACTTGATGACATATTACATTGCGCACCAAAGCGCTTTGTTAGAACTTTATTTACTGTTCAGTTATCCAGCAAATAAACAAAAGCAAACAACCTGGAAATGTATTTTGTTGCTCCTGGAAAGTCAGAGACTACTTAAATAAACAGTTTTGGCTCTAAGCCCCTAAACAACTCTTCTCTGAGTTGCTCTGTAATCTCCTGCATGCAGCATTGTGCTCAGTTAACCTTGCAGTAAACTGTTGCCTTATTCTGTGAAGCTTAAATAATACAGGTCTGAGAGGGCAATCAAATACTCACTAAGGAACAGTCAGCAACAGATCTGAATCTCTGGAGGATGAGTTCATGCAGTTTGGACTTGGCTACAGGACTGCCTATAGGACTCAATAATTTGGAGTTTCAAAAGCTTCTAGATTGTAATTCACCTTATCACCCCGCAGTGTTTTCGCTGAGTGGTGGGTTAGTCATTGAATTGCTGTCCACGTTGGACTGTTGCTTGTAATCCATCATTGCAAAGCAGTCCGCCTCCTTCCCAGAACTCCCAGCAGCAGCAACTCTCTGTCCTAACTGCTCACCCAGTGCTACTCCTTCAGTGTCCCTGTTCTGTAATTGGTTTGGCTACGGTGTGACGTTGGAGGGTTAGACAGATTTTAATGCATGTTTTGAATTAATGGCAAAGGCTGATATGTACTGAAAAAATTGTAACGTAAGATCCACACTGCTCTGTATTGTTATTCATTTATAGTTTCAATCAAATGCAAAGGTGATTGTTTTCTCCCGTTTCATGTTTGTTCTCTTTAACAGATTGAGAAGATCATGAACTTGATTGGAGCAGGCATTGAAACGTCCAAAAAGAAACAGCCCACACCAAGCTCAGGTAACGCTTCACCACCTTTTTAATTCATGCAGAATGGAGTGGTTCTTTTTTTTTTTCCAGATACATGACTATGTGGTGTGTAATTTATTGGCTGGTTAATGCAAAATGACAACTGGGGTATTAAGTGAGTGTTATTCATTAACCATTTCTAAAGCTCTTAATAGCCCTTGGTGCTGCATTGATGATAGCCCAGCAGAGGATATTGGATTGGAATTATATGTAATGTTAGCAGCAACCAAACTTTTTACACCCTGTAAGTGATTACATTTGTGAGCAGCTTTTCTAAGAGCTGTTATTCAGTATTCAAACACACCTTCAGAAAAGATGTGGGATAGAGACTGAAGCTGGCATTTGTTTGGCACATCATTGTTGTTATGTTACACACAAGCTTTCCACTTAATGCGAAATCTAATTCTGAATTCCCCTCACTGTCATATTTTTTTTCTGGAGTTACTGTATATCTCAGTAGGGCTTGAATTGATAGTACACCTCATTAAGTGTCCTTCAGGCAGTAGAGAGGAAGAAGCCAGCTGGCATCAGCTCAGTTTGTTTAGATAACTCTCCTGAGTTAATACAGTGTAAACCCACCTCCATTAGATACTCCGCCATAAGGTGGTTTCATCACACAGTATTGTGTAACAGCTTCTCTGGGGCACAAGAGCGCCTTATAGAAGTCTCAGCAGATTTATTAAGATAAATATTTTTAATTAGTTATGCACTAGTTTGTTTCATGGATTAACAATCTGCTGACCACAGCAATGTGTAACATCACCCAAAATGAAAGACAGGAGGGAGACATTAATGGTCATGAATGAAGTATGAAGTAAGGATGCCAAAAATATAATAATATAAATAAATAAATAGTAAGTTTAACACCAATTATCATTACTATTATTCAGCATCTTCATCTTAATCTTCCCTTATTTTACACAATTACAGTTACTTCCAGGCTGCTTTTAACCCCATACACAAGCCTTATGAAATCATTTACCTTTGTTAATGTTATTTTAGGCCAAAAGGAAATGCATATTGGCAGCTCAGTCCTAAAGCAAAGCTGGTTTCCACTGTTGTGTGAATTTATGCTTTTAATTGTAACTTGACTTCCAGCACACCCAAGGATTCTTAGATTAATTGCTATCCCAACAATTAAGACCTGAGGTTATTTCACATTACGTAAGAGGGAATATGTTGTTTGTTTGTTTGTTTTTTTCTTCTTCTACACGTATAGGTGTGTGCTATTTATAGGCCTTGTTTGGAGAACAGCATGCTGAAAGTGTCCCAGATTCAGCTGAGTCATGCAGTCGCTTCTCCCGATTTTAATCGGAGATTGTGTACAAGTCGTCCTGGAGGTTGCGAGGATGGTTTTGTTGCTGTTTTGGTACGTGTCGCTTGGTAAAGAGGTCACATTTCCACAATGTAATGAAAGGAAACAAACAAGTACCCTTCAGACTCATCACCAGAAGAGGGGGAGAAAGAGAGAGAGAAGAGAAGGAGATAAGGGGGATTGCACAAAGATGGAAACCTAAATTGTCATTCATTCATTCTACCTTTATCTTTCTTTTGTGACAAAAATGGGAAAATCTTATCAACTATCCCTTTTCTATTCAAAACACCTTTTCCTTGTAAACTTCCCCTCTCATATCAGGACAGCCAATTCGTCTTCAGGAAAAAGATTTAGGAACACCAGATTTTTGTGGCAGCGAAAACCAACCCTGCAGTTTTGTGCCATTCTGCATGCCCAAGGATGAGGCTGTTTGTGTGGTGTGTGCCCATCACGAGTGCCTCGATTGTGTGCTAAGAGAGCACTGAGTAAATGAGCTTAAAAAGAGAGAGGGAGTGGAGAGAGAGCTCAGCTAACAGCACACAGGAGGCATCGGCTCGGTTTGTGTACAGGCACACTCTGACGTTCAAAGGAAAAGAGTCCGCCTTCAGTTTCCCTGAATTAATTCAGCTTTGCGGCTCATTTTCTTCAGCGCTTGGGTGTGTTGACAAGAAGCTAGTGCTTTTCTCCTGCTCTGATAAAGAGGCACGGCTTTATCTAGGCACAACCTCTACCTCCTCTGCTGTAAATAGGTCTTTCTGGGCGCTCCTTGGAGCCAAGTCTAGACCTAGCAGCGCTCAAACCGTACAGAAACACACTTGGATAGATTTGACAGCTTGGCCTGTTTAACAGGGGATAAGACAGTGACCCAGTTCCCCCCCACGGAGGAGCATTGGATACTCTGTCAGTCAGTAATTAGGTCCTACTACTGTGGGAGGTGTTGCTGTCCCAAATGAATGGAAGTAATTGGATGGGGTGGCTGGTATTTTTAACAGTCTTTGTGTGGATATTGTGGTGTAAGAGCTGACTTTGGTGAGGAAAGAGTAAAGAAGGAGGAGGAGTTGAGGGATCTCGTAGTGAATCATAATTAGTCCACATCAATCCTTCTTACTTCCAATTACCATCTTATCTCGCCCATATGTTTCATCGCCTCCTCCTTTATTAGTCTTATTCTGTCTCTTATCTGTCTCCTGCTCATTCTCTCCCTCTCCCCGTCTCTCTCTCGCTCTCTCTTTCCATCATCTTTCTCCCCAGTCGGGGCAAATCTGACAGCAGCTTCTCTTCCTGATAACAAATGATGAGCACTGGTCCTTGTGGATAACTGACGGGTCACGGAGACCCGACTTGGCCTTTTACCTGATCGTTAACGCCAGAGTAACAGGGGTACAGGCAGCCAATTACGGAGGAGGTTCAATCAATAGCCCTTCACTTTGCCTCCCTCTGTTGGCACCTCTTCTCCTTGCCCTGACTGCCTTACTGACTGGCTGACTACCCGTTTGGGAATGTGTGAGGTGATTGCAAGCAGCTTGAAAGCCTGCATAATTACGTTCCGCCTGCAGCTGTACCCAGATAACACCAGTGATGGACGCAGTGAGCACCCCTGCATAGGTGGGTGCTAAAGTCTACCACTCCCTGTGTAGGCATAGTCAAATGGTGCTGTGTGTGTCTTTTTCATTCAAAATCTATCCAAATTTTATATCATCTCACTTGTTTATCCAGGCTTTCTCCTGTAAGTAGCCTCTGTTGTGCACTAAAAAAGGATGATGTGACATGAGCATCTGGAAGTACATAATGGAATTCGCCTTTTTTCTGTCATGCTGTATGACTGGGTGAGATGGAGAAGAGAGGACTTGAAGTGTCTCTTCTCTTCTCTTCTCTTCTCTTCTCTTCTCTTCTCCCATTCTCCCTCTCCTGTACGAGTGCATTAGAGACTTCTGCTGACTTGAATCAATGCTGCCCCCCCTTGTCCTATCATCAAAGTAAGATGTAAATGAATTAAAGCCATCTGCTAATAAGCAGGGGCTTGAGGAGGCTCTTTGTTTGAATATCCCATGTTAGCCTAAAATTTTGGCATTGCTCCTGCAGAAGAGGATTGACTCTATGTCATCCTTTTACATTCTAGTCATTCTTTGCAGAAAGGACTGTGATTTGGGGCTCTTGGTGCTTGTTCCTTGCCTCTGATGGTGGTGTCCTTTCTGCACTGGCAAGATCAGAGTGCCTCTGTGCAATTCTAATCAGTGCAGTGGGGAGAGAGGGGGGGTGAGGTAGGGTAAGGTTAGGGAGAGACAGACAGAGAAGAGCGGGTATGTGTGCATTTGTATGAGAAAGAAAGGGGGGCAAGATAGAAGGGGAAAGGGGTAGAGAGACAGATGAAGAGAGAGAAAGTGTCTGTGTGTTTGAGAACGAGAGGCAGGGGGGAGCAAGACGGAGTGAGGGAGAGTGCAAGCCAGAAAGGGAGAGAGAGAGAAGAGGAGAAGGAGGAGAGGGAGGAGAGAGGCCTGATGAGAGAGAGAGAGGCAGAGGGAGGGGAATTGATATAGTGGGAGAGTGAGGGAGAGAGAGAGAGAGAGGTGGTTACGTGGAGCAGCACCCCACTTCATCAGGCAGCATACGGCAGCCCTGCAGTGCGATCACACAGTGTGGGAATGGGGCTATGAGATCGAGAGCAAGAGAAAGAAAGCAGAGAGAGACGAGAGCGAGGAGGGGGGGAGTTAAAAAGAAGAGCTTGAGGGATTTGCTCGGATGAGAAGGGGGAATGATCACTGAGTCTGTTGCCTGTCGTGGATGTTTGGAAGGACGTGGCAGCAGTGGCTGAGGTTGAGGCAGATCTGTGATCTCCTGTGCAGAAGTAGCCGGCGTCAGGACGTTATGCCCTGTGAGCAGTGAGGGGTAGCGTGTGTGAGCCAGGAGCAGCTGCTGTGACTGCATCTGCGCTGCCTGCATGTCTCAGACAGGCAGGGGATGCAGCAAACCTCTGCCCTGAGCACAGAGGCTGCTAGCTGTACCCAGCAAGGAGAAGAACCAGGTGGGCTGGGGCGGGAGTGGGGGGCGCCTGCCTCAGGAAGGAGCTAGCTTAACCTGCACTGTGGTCCTGCAGTGATCCTCGCTTCAGAGTCAAAAGGCTCACCTGCCGTCTGTAGGATATGAACCTGGATTTACTGCTTTGAGAGATGAGAAGCACGTTCTCTGGCGGAGCCGCACAGCCAGCAGCCTGCTGAAGAGTGTGAATGCTGGGCAGCACAGGGAGCACTGGCACCACCAAGGACACTGAGCCTTTTTGCACTGGCAGACAGCTTACCTGGAGCTTTATCAAGGAATCTTTACTTGGATTTGATTATGAATTGAGGAGTTTTGGAATCAGCACACTGTGGAAATCCTAAGCCAACATTTATTTTTTTGATGTAGGATTTACAATATGTCTACCTGACCGTACTCCTTGTGGCTCTGGAGTAAAGACGAAAAAAAAAAAATAATTTAAGCAAATGTGTATTCCTTGATCAAAAATAACATGAGTACCTCAACAGTACTTTAGAATGCTGCTACCTTCATTGTATGAGCCGTGTCCTAGCTCTCAAAGAGGTTGACCAATGAAGCCATGGGACTCAGCCAGAGCTTTACAAGTATGTGGTGAAGACAAATTCATTTTGGGGGAACTGAATATTTCTGTGTTACACCCTGATGGAGTTATTTCTGATTTTAGAATATTATGGGGATAGTTTTAGCAAAGTAAATAATGTGTGATGTATGAAAATGTCTGATTTAGTGATAAATATTTCCATTTTCCCTCAGCTTGAAAATGATTTAGTCTTTCTGTAGTATTATTATGTTTTCGGACTAGCCAGGCACTAGTTTTTACACTCGCTCATCTGATCACTAAAGGAATGTTTAGTGAACCCTGTTTGTTGGAAGATGCCGTAGTGGCTCAGTCCAACATAACTAACAATACCAAGCTTCAGATGGGCTTCCTTCCCTGCACTACCTCCACCCTCGCCTGACATTTCCAGTCAGTCACACTAGCACCAGTGGGTGTATATTAGCCTAGTCAGTCCCCTGCAGGGCTTGAGCTGGGCCTGCAGCACTTCCTACCCTCCTTCTGTGTTTGAGTTAGCTGGGCCCCCGCCTTTACCTTGGGAGCCCCTCACCCCCGGCCTGGACCCTGTCTCCCCCCCACCCCGCCTGGTGCTGCTGCACTCGGCTCTGCCTCTGCTGGCCGAGGATGATGTGGCAATGCCATGTGTCGTCCTCTGAGTGCCGCTGCTACCGGCTGAACGGCTTCTCACTGCTGAAGCGCTTCCCTCTCTCGGCAGATGGGGCCTGTGGTAAAGCCCTGGACCAGCCGGTTGGAGAGTGGCTGGAGCACGTGGGGCTGCCGCAGTACGAGAGCAAGTTTCTGCTCAATGGCTTCGATGACCTACGATTCATGGTGAGTCACCTGCAGCACGTCATCTCAAGGGTCGGTTCCACTTTACATCACTCTGTCTCTCCCTGTGTCAACCTAGCTGCATTTGTCTTTTTATGTCACCACTCTGCTCGTCTCCCAGTAACTCCACTCACTCCCTCCTCTCTTCTTTTCACCCCTGCACCCTTTCTCTTCCCCCCGTCTCCCCTTCATAACTCCCTTTCACCTCTGTGCAATGCATGACCCTGCTAAGATTTATGGCCCCACACTGAATCCCTTTAAAGAATATGGGCTGTCACCAATGGCAAGACAAATGACAACCAAAACCTATTAACTTTTCCCAGCGTTCCCACTCATGTTATCTCATTTACTGTACAATTCTAAAGCCAACTCCTCCCCCCTTTATTGAATCTTCTGATTTACAGTCACTGAACTTGACCCCTGTGTAGATAGACTTGGACAAACGATCCTCAGTCTAAACACACTATAGTTTCTAAATACACTTTGCATGGTTGTTGGCCAAATCTCACTAAATCCTCTACCCATTATGCTCTGCTTGTGGTACTTACGAGTCGGTCTTGCAGCAACTGCACAATGTATGATTACACTGCAGTAGCATGCTCTAATGCTGTATTTATATACTGTATACTCCTGGTTTTTAGATTTTAATAACACATGTTTGCATGCAGACATTTATTTTGGTTACAAATGTATTATTTTACCAGTAAGTAAATGACAAAAACTATATGATTTATCTACTGTGATGGTTTAAAAAACACAATCAGACAGATGGTGTTTCTGGAAAGCATTGACACATTTTGTCTGTCTGTGTTTTGCATTTTCTAACCGCTTTTGTCAGATTACATATTGATAAGTTAATTTAACTGCAGCTCAAAAGACGTTCACAGTCTGGCTAAAAGCGTTATTGTGATACACATAAAGAACATTGCAAAGAAACTCGATATTGCATTTGGCAATGGTTGTAGAAAACACCATTACGTTTTCAGATCCCTGGTCATGTTACTCTGGAAAACATGGCTCTACATGGTAAATAACTAGGCCCAAAGGGTAAATGTGAACATTTCTCATGCCACAGAGCAGCATTGGCACTATGGGCTATATGTTACATCAGTTTGTCACAGCTGAGCTCAGTTAAGTGAGACCAGTAAGCTCAGAGGAAAAGTGGTTGTATTCACAAAGTGTTCCAGCTGAGGTCTGCTGCTCTCTGGTCTGTTTTTCTTTCTGGTAAGGCATGAGATCACAACATAATGGGAGTCCTTATGAACGTGTGATAACTCCTACTATGAGGTGCTGTGCAGATACAAGCTTTAGGCTCAGATTTGTGTTCGTTCATGAGGTGACAACAAATCTGAAGTAGTATGTGCAGTCAAAATATATAGTCAGAGTAAAAGGAATAGAGTAGGTGTGTGTGATATGGGTTACAGCTAGACCGATAAATCGTCCGGGCTGATATGTCAGCAGGGGTATTGCAGATATATTGGTGTTCTGTATATGGCGGACAGTGAGTAACTAGACATTGCAGCACAAAAATATATGTTTGAGGTAATTTAGATTGCATAATTGGCCATTAGAGAAAGAAACTAACCGTAAAATGTCTGGCTCAGTACATTTTGTGGTCACAGTTTCTTGAGAAAGCTAATTTAAAGGATGCGTATGTAGGAATTTCTAGGATATGTTATGCTTTTATTTGTAAGTAAACATTAGAGAGGTGACTGGAAATCAGAGGAGATGGATAGCTAGGAAATGGAATGCCGCAAAGGTTGCAGACTAGAATCAAATTATAAATGGTATGTATTGAACCTAACCTAACCAGAATTCTTATCTGCATATGCAATATCATATTGCATTAATGATAAATGTCATGATATGGTATATTAGATTAAACTGAAATGCTGTGTTGTTGTTTTTTTTACTGTTCTAGTAAAATACCTGACAAACAAAAGCTCTTAATTAAATAATGCAAAAATCCTGTAAATCCAATATAGCCATAAATCAGTTCTGCTTATTGATTTTCAACATTAGCTGCAATACCCTTGTCTAACCAAAGACAGATATTAAAGAATGAGTTTTTAAGGTTTTTAAAGCTAAGTTTAAAATTTTTACTGGCTGACAAATATGTCTATGATTCTCACAGTGTATATCATTATATAACACTAGTGTATTGATATTAAGGTGGTAGTAAAAAGGAAACAAGAAACCTTCTTGTCTTATTGAGTTGGAAGATTCCAAAATGATCAAGATTTCCAGGATATAATGTGATGAGGACTACGGGTCATTAGTCATTCTGATGTTCATTTTAATGCCACGACTAATGTGTCTGCTGGACTTGATGCATCAAGGAGATAAATCATTAGCTTCACAAGGCAAATTACCCATGGATATTTACAAGGAAGTGGAGGTTGCAAACAAGGGAAAGGTCAGAGTAGTCAGGCAGACATTGTGAATGTTTAATATTGTGCCCTTTTGGATTCTGCCAGACTTGCTTCAGATGTGATCAATCTAACTGAATTTGATTGTCAGAATTTGTTTGTGGGATTTGTTGTCAGTCAAAGAAATGCCACCTAATTTCTGTTTTTACTGTTTTACTGTTATGGTTCATTGCTCAGATGTCCAAACTAATGTGGCAGTGAGTCAAAATGTCTAGTGCGAAACATCTTAGAAGTTCCCCATCATGCATTTACATTGCGTCTTTACTGCATTAATATTGCATCAGACTCTGCAGCCCCCCTTTCTCAAATGTTATAATGTAGAGCTGAACATACATATTGTAACACATAAATTAAGTCTTCTTTCTTTGCCAGATTATTGTTACGCCTGCCGACTCTTGAAAAAGTAACAAAATTGGATTTTTCTAAACAATTCCTCTGTGGTGCATAGAAATAGAGCAATTCTAATTCACTGTTGCATTAACTGAGTGCATTTAGTGAGATGAAAGACTTCTACCATGGCTACATCTGCAAGTCGTATCAGATTAAATCAAACTACCATAGCTCATAAGCTATGTAACAACTGAACCATACATTCCCGTCACATGTTTTAAATGCAGCATGAAATAATAAGTTTGCCAAGTCTCCCGGGGCATCATCAAACTTCAAACTGTGTTAATAAAAGTGGAGAATCTATTTTGGGCCTCCCTTACATCAGACCCCGCTTCATTTTGACCTTTATTCTTGCGATCAGTGAGTAATCTCCAAACTGCACCCTGATACAGGCCTGTGAATACTGCTGCATTGTGCTCTGAAACCAATCCAGTAAGAGCAGATTGACTAAAGACTACAGAACATTTTAACATTCTTGGCCAGGAAGAATCAATCTGCAGCAGTCCACAGGGAAAAACGCTTAGCTCCACATTTTCAAGGTTCCCCTCGTATCTTTATTCCTGCCTATAAACCGGAATAAGATGACAAAGCAGCTGGAGCCGTAAATATGAACAGCTACATGAAATAGACAAGAATCTACTTGTCAGTCAAGATTTGAAGAGGTGGAAAACGATTGTTGTTCATTGTTTCTACATCCTAAACTGAGGAATTGTTACAAACTGTAGTGAAATATTCTCGTTTCCTCTTGGACTGTTTAGTTTCCCTCAATGAAACACAGCAGCAAAGAGATCCTGTAGATGCTGCTGCAGTTATGAAGGCTTTGTTCCCTCTGAGTCGCACCCGATCAGATTGATTACTCTTGGCATGCACAATTTATTTGACTTCATTGTCCTCCCACTCTGCTGTTACTGCTTGTGTCAGAGATGTGCATATTCTGTGTGTGTGTGCGCATGTGTGTGTATGTCATGAGCAAGTATGTGTTTGCACAGCTACAATTTTGCCCCACTAGATACAGTGTAGAACAAGTCATGTTACTTTTACTGACCTATGTTATTATAAAGCGATTTTTATATGTCAGTATAGTGTATTTTATGTATAATTATATGGCTCTGTGTGTGTGTGTGTGTGGTCTTTAAGTGCATTCATAAGTAACACTAATATACCATATAATGCATTACTGATTTATTTTCATGTATTGTGCTATTGTATGTCCATATTGTGTATTGTCTCTGTGCATGTGTATGTGCTTGTGTGTTTGTTTGCTTGCATGTGTGTATGAGTATGGCTGTGTGTGTGCGCCTGTGTGTGAATGTGTTTATTTGTGTGTATCCCTTGCGTTTGTGCACATGTAGGGAAGTAACGTGATGGAGGACCAGGATCTCAGAGACATTGGGATCACTGACCCAGGACACAGAAAGAAAATCCTCCATGCGGCACGCAGCTTGCCCAAGGTACTTAACATCATAACTTAACCTCAGTACCGACGAAAGACAGCGACTAATAGTGAATAAAATGTCAAAATATCAGTGTGTTAATAAAAATAGTAGATAAGCAAAAACTTTCCAATCAAAATTATTTTTTGATCACAGATAGACACACCAAAGATTTAGGGGCAAATAAGTCAAAAGTTCATGAAGGTAATAGTATTAACTTTAAAATTGAACTAAACTACGCATTGCTTTTTTTTTACTAACTATAATTTTAAGTAGTAACCTGAAATGCATTACATGAGGATTTCATTAAGGAAAATGCTGTACATGGGTTCTAAGTGGGAAAATCTGGCAAAGTAAGAAAAACCCTTATTTATTCAAATAAAAAATGTGTCCAAGCATGTGAATGTGTCGCAGTCACAGTCATGCTGGGGGTTATGTAAGGCTATTTACAGGCACAGCATTGCTTTGAGGTAAACGCTAACATACTCTCAGAAACAATACTAACATGCTGATGTTAGGCAGTATAATGTTCACCATCTCAGGTTAGCCTGTTAGCATGCTACACAATGGTATTAGTTTAGCAGGTATTGGCATGCAGCCAAATTTTGATCTCATGAGGAATCCAGAAAAAAGTCAGGGGATCATAAAAGTTATTGGAACGTATCCCCTATGTATGGTTGTCAACATATTACTCAGATTACCAAATTAATTAAAGTAATCAACCAGCTGGTGGTGCTACATGAAAAGTCATGGGATCACCACAGTCCATAGAGTTCATCCTCTGGGGACCAGATCTCTGACTGACTGACATTTCTGTCCCTTGAGCCACATGGCTAGGATGGATATCCTGTACAAAGTTACAGTACTTGCTCACTTACACATGTCTTTCCCTTCACTGTAGGTTAAAGCACTGGGCTGTGATGGCAGCACATCTCTTGCCTCCTGGCTGGATGGCCTCGGCCTGCATGAATATCTGCCCAACTTTCTTTCAAGTGGCTACCGCACACTGGAGTGTGTTAAGAACCTGTGGGAACTGGAGATTGTCAATGTAAGAAGCCTTCTTTTAACATTTTTATCAAGTGCAATTTAGATTTTGGCCTCTTTCTGATGGCGGGTGAGCAGGACATTGATGAAGTTGTCGCTGTCTTTGACAAAGACCCAAAGAGTGTTGATGGCCTTGAGACATTTTGGATCAGTTCTCGCAGAATCAAAAGATTTATGGATCGTGTGGTGGTTTGAGGTTAAGAAGCACTTTAAAATGCAATGCTGAAATAACAAAAGTGCTCGATGGTGGAAGCATTTGCATAAAACTACAGCAGAAACATCACTGAGTAATTAGTAGATAACTAACAGATAAAATGTAAATTATGGAGCAATATGGTGGCTGATGACAGGGAAGTATATAATTTGGTTTAATCTTTATGGAAATAGTGTAACACTGTTTGATAATTTGTTATTACAAAGCAGGACTCATTTCTTTTGGGCTCGAAGAGAAACACATGTAGTAGTTTGGCTGAACATGTGTGCAGATGCTGATTTGTCTCCGTGCAGATGTGTGTGTGTTGAGACTACAGCAGTGGTTTCCTCAAGGGTTCCTAAAATAAATCTGAGGGTTTGCAAGATGATTAACGGGATATAAAATAAGAAAAAAACATGCTGTCTTCTACAAAATTACTTCCTGACTTTTCCCTAATCTTTAATTTACTGTAAAATACTGGATTTTTCACCAAAAAAGGTTCACAAGCAGCCGTTGTTCTAAGTTACAGGGATTTTATATCCATCCTTTTGATTTGCTGTATTGATCATAGTGTTTTGTTTGTATTGTAAACAAGTTGATTGACTACAGATCTCATTGGACTGGCAAAAAAACTGCTAAACACCACAGCAATGCTAACATTTTCTGTCCTTGTCCTTGATACAGTAGCAATAACCAATCATGTAGACATTAGCATTGTTTATGTCATGACAGACAGCCCGACAATCCAAACAGATGATCTGATATGGTTGATATGTACTCATAGGAGGCAGTGTGGGAGCAGAGGATGAGCATGTTTACGGCGATCATATTTTTCGCACTAATCACAGCACTTCTATGTGTGGTTAGTTGTGATAAACACAATGACAGCGGGGGCAAAATGGCAGAAACCCGCAACAGCTGCAGTAGCAGCAGCAGCAGCAGCAGCAGCAGGAAGGCAGCAGCCAAACATACTGTACCAAACATACTGTATGCAGTGTGTGAGGGATTGTGTCCAGCAGACTGCGATGCAGTACAGAAAGATGGGTGTGAGAGCAGGGCACATTACATTCAATGTGCAGAGTAGCAGAACTGCCTCTGAGCATCTTGGCAGAACTCACTTTGCCCATTACATTTCCTACATCCTCTTCAGCATCTTACAGCAAATAGTATCAATCCTCATTTTGATCTACAAGCTGGTTTTAATTCCCATACAATCCTTAGGCTCTTTATTACTATTTCAATTTTCCTCTTATTTCACACGCCTCATGCATACTGGTCTCAATGGGATTCTGTACATGAGAATAATGACAACATCACCAGAAATCCAGAGGACAGACCAGTTGCCTCTTCTCCCTCCGACTCTCACTGAATAAATAATTGAAGGCTTTAGACAAAGAACCGTATGAGCCTGTTACGGAGTATTTTGTACCAGCAACATAATTTCAAATGTAACATTAATCACTCAACATCCACCTTTACTGGATGAGCATGAATGTTAATAGCCAATTATGCAAATATGAAGTATTAAGATAATGAGTTTTGACTACATAAAATTAACCTATGGTTCCTCCTCAGAGGGTTTTAGCCACACAAGCTGGTATATATATTGCGTTTGTAAAAGGTTTAAAGAGACATAGATACTATGGATTGACGTGTGTCAGGTGAACTTGCTGTGTTAAGATACTGTAAATTAAAAACATGTATTTTAATTGTGACGAATTAAGTGGATCTATGTAATACAGTTGTTTGAAAATCACTTGTTTGTCTGCATATTACTTGTTATCGTCCCAAAAATCACCAAATTCTCCCTCTGTTATTTTAGCACTATGTCCAAAAATGGATCTTGAATTATAGAGTGTCCCGGGAAAGAGACAGTGCTGTACTTTAAGCTTACGGCAAAACAGATTGAGGCTGAATTATTGACGAGAGTCATTTCTGTTTGCCTGTGGATGCCTGCCAGTGAATGGTGCATGCCACTAACTCTGTGTCAGTGTATTTTGGATATATCTCTATTAGCTTAGCCTAGATACATTCTTGTGTTTGAGATATTGATGTGACAATGCACTCCTTATATTGTGCCCTGATGCTGTCTTCTCTAGGTTATTAAGATTGGTGCCCTGGGCCACAGGAAGAGGATCATTGCCTCTCTAGCAGAGAGACCCTATGAGGAGGCACCGTCTAAGTCCCGTCGTCTGTCCCCAATTATGGTAAGATTGGTGAAACTGATACAGTTCAAATATTATAGGCACTTCGCTGCTGGCTCTTCATAAGGTGGCCCTGATTTGATGTCTGCTCCACAAAAATACAGCACATAGCACAAGAAATATGTTTTCTAAAGCATGCAAGTGTGAATGAGACTGCAGCATTGTTAGTGGTCCTATTTAACCGTTGTAGTGCAGACACATACTGTCAACCCTAATTTGCTAAATATATTGGGTATGCTCAAATATGGCCAATTAGCCAAGTAGTTCTGCATATGCCCTCAATGTAACCCATATTTAGTGTCAGTGATGTCTATAAAAGATACGTAATGTTTTTTTATTTAATATGGGTTAACATTTGTTTGTATTTGTTTTTATAGTTCTCAGTATTTTTAGTAGAGATAGATGATTACACCCAGTTATTGAGCAACAATTAAAACAGAGCTCAAGATGGAAGTTAAACAACGTTGCATGGCGAGCTTTATTTCTATGCCAACATCATTTTGTGAGAAAATGGATCCTTTTCTTTTTTTCAGCTGCAGATATCTAATTTTGGAATGAGATTCTTCAATATCATTATGTTCACAACAGTTAAATACTCAGGGCTGATTTCCCAGGCAGATTAAACTGGGCTAAAAAGAATTGAGAATCTCCATGGAAGAGGCTCTTTTGTTGCGGATTAAGCTTGGATGTAGATCTGGGAAACCAGCCCATGTAGGCAGTGCTGTCAAATCATTAATCTGTGCTGTGCATGTGATGTGTTTGTACTCTTTTGTGTGTGTGTGTGTGTGTGTGTGTGTGTGTGTGTGTATATGGCAGTTTCATGACCTCCTGTCCCAGACCACATCTCCACTCAGTCAAATGGACCCCTACACCAGTCGCTCCATGGACATGCTCCTGCCCTTGACAGAGTCAGACCGGAGGCGGAGAGGAGTTGAACAAGACTGTAGTGTTTCTCTGCGTTCATATAGTGAGAGGCCGCGCTCTGTAGTGAGTTCCACCTTCTTTCGCTTTTATCGTCTTCTGGGAAACCGCTGTAGAAAGTTAGATGTGTTGGGGTGTCTTGTCACACTTAATGGTTGAGTTCAGTCTCAGTGAACACTGAACTGTAACCAGGTTCAGCAATATGTTTACAACACATATAGTACAGTGAGATAATAAGAATTTGTCTACTATCAGAAAATCACTTGTATCATTCATACCATAGTTTATCTCTTTAATATCTCTGGATGGATTAAACCATTGTGGACAATGTTGGAAATCAATGAGCTGGACTACTTTATGAAACTATTGGACTTTCATTTTTGGGTAAACTTGATGAAGTACTTTGATTTGTCAAGAATTTAATTTGCTGGATTAGCCAAAAGACACATTCCTGTCTGATATTTTATCCATTTATCTACAATTTCTCAAATGATTTTCCAGAAATTCTATTATATTTTATGTGATATACTCCAGTTGCCAGTTTATTAGGCGCATGTAACTAAAACTAATGCAGTATAATGCAACAGTCCTGCAATAAATCCTATAATGTTCCGTTTTAAACTGTATTGTGTTACCCAGAAAGGTGTTTCTGTTATTTAACCTGATGGGTTAGACAAAAAATTGCACCACAAACTACATCCTCCAAAATGACAATACAATTGAACCAACACCTCTCAGTTTCAACAAAAACTGAACATTATAACCTTCATGAAGGGAGGATTTATTGTAGTACTGCTGTATTAGACTGATTGGTTTTAGCTAGGTGTACATAATAAAATAAATGAAACTCTCTCTCCCCCCTTTTCCTGTCACATAGCTGTCACTATCAATTAAAGGCGATAAAAGCCCCCCAAAAAACTAATATAAAAAAGTATTATATGATGCAGAGGGGAACTAATATTATAAAGCCCAGCACTGCTGCTTCTGGCTGAAAGACTGTAATCTAATTACATATATTTTGTTCTTAAGTTTAGCTACTTAGCTTAACTAAACCTCGATTAGGTCTGGTTTATATGACTGAATTATAAAGATAATTGTTCCGAAAATGATACATACCACAATGAAACTGATGTTCACGGCAATAAACTGTCTGAAGGTTTTGTATATGAGTTGTTTTATATCAGACAAAACTCTTAAAAAATGTAGAACAAAAACTTAAATGACTTATTTATTTATTTCTTGTTAGTTTTTAATTAAAACTTGCATAGAATCATTCATTTGGATGAGTATAATTTCACAGAAAGTTTAAACACGACAGTACTGATTTATTTCCCTGCCCTGTCTTCCATTTTTCATAAAACAGCTGTTCACGTAATCTCTTTAGCTACCGTCCCACACTAAATCTCTATCATGAATACTATCAACATCAACTCCAAATGTACCTCTTAGCCAACTTTTACTAGAAGCTCTGTGATCTTTATCATTTGTCTCCAGAGTAGCTTTGAATATTATAAATATTTGAATAACTAAAAATCCAATACAGTATCATCTTTCACTGACAGAAATTCAGTTCTATGTGCTTCCCAGAATTTCTTGGATTCCTCTTTAAGAGGATGAACAAATAATAACTCGTGATCAAATGTTACCATTTGCTAAAGGTCAAACCACGACCCACACAAAGAATCAAGATGGCTCGCCTGGTTTCTGACTCGCTGAGCCCAAAGAGAAAACCACACATACAGGAAATGTTGCATGACTACACTACTCAGGATCCATGATATGTAAAATCAATACAATACATTTTCCTAAACGCTTAGTGGTTTTTGTCATTAGTATATTTCACTCTGACAAGAGATTTATGAAAGAGCACAGCCCACATTGACCTCAAGGCCCATCCCAGTGCATGAATATTTATGAGCATACTAGCAGATCAAAAACAAGTTGTATTAATGTGCTGACCAAGCAGACTTCTGTTGCCTCCACACTAATGTACAGCTGTCAGACTTTGTTTACTTCCCCACCTTGACTGAGACACACAAAATTGTACTTGAAGTTGATGTGGCTACAGGTTTAAACAGTGGAATTCTATTATAATACACAAAATACAGTGTCTTACCACTCTTACCACCATTGTCTATACAGACTAAAGTGTACATAGGTAAAGAAAAGTATCCTGTCACTAAAAAGAGGAAGATTTTCACTGCCTCGATAGATGGATTTACTTCGTTTCATGTCACCATTCAGGACAGACAGAGTGAACGACACAAAGACTCTCGTTTAAACCTCCGGCCGCCGAGCCACTCTGCTACCTACGCCACGGTGTCCGCCTGGCATCACCAGCCTGAGAAACTCATCCTGGACTCCTGCGGGTACGAGGCAACTGTAAGTCACTTTTTACTTTTGACTTCAGCATTAAGGCAGACATACGTACACTTTTAAACACAGTGTGGATGACAGAATTTAAGCTGTGCTACTGTTTAGTGTAGTTCACATGAAGCTCATCAGCACCAATGTTGAAAATGTATTCTGAATTACCCAACCCTAATTAGTGTTCTAATTCTTTCTCCTAGTACCTAGGATCAATGATAATCAGGGATCTACGAGGGATTGAGTCCACACAAGATGCCTGTGCTAAAATTAGGGCAAGTATTACTGAAAAGCTTTACCAATATTGTTTTTTTTTTCGAGAATATTTTTGCAAAATGTCAGACATGAAATAACAGAAGAAGAATACAACTGACAGTTTCTTTTCCCAGTCTGAGGAAGCTACTAGGATAGCTTAATATTTCTGTTATCACATTTATAGTGCATGGACCATTGTGTTTTGTTGTATGTGCCTCTCATTCTTTATTGTACCTATTGTAGAAATCAAAGGATTCCAGAAAGGGCCCAGTTGTCATACTGTCCATTACCTACAGAGGGGTCAAGTTCATTGATGCAGCCACGAAGGTAATGGGAAAGTGTGTTTGTGTGTCTCTGTGTTTATCGATCCGTTGACTCTCCCAACCTCCATTAGTGGTTGATTTCCAGTTAGCACTCACTTCCTTCCTTTCTCCATTAGACTATAGTTGCAGAGCACGAGATCAGGAACATCTCGTGTGCTGCTCAGGACCCAGATGACCTCTGCACTTTTGCTTATATTACCAAGGACCTGAAGAGTGGCCACCACTTCTGTCATGTCTTCAGCACTGTGGAAGTGGTGAGTAATACAACTCAATCCTCTTAGGCGCATGTGAACAAACTACTCTTGTGTTCAGTCTTTTGCTTGATTTAATAGAAATATGACTCTCCATATAATCGATTGAGGAAACCGTTAAATCTTCTGATACTTCTTAAGCTTTTTGCAAATTCATCATTGAATAATTTAGACAAAACTAAGTGCCCTTGGTGGGATGTTGGATATCCCGCAGTTAAAACTGCATGCAACATCTTGTGGACATTATTCCCTTGATTGGCTCATCTAATGGCTTGATTGAAGTTCCACTCCCGCTATGCATGGCATTTCCATGTACAGGTATAGATTATGTTGTAATTTGTGTCCCAGCTTCTGTAAAGGTCAAAGATAATCTTTTATCTCTGGCAGATGGACCACTGTGGAGTGTATTTTAATTACAGGGTTCAGTTGTAACTGGACTGTAGTGATCAAAGTTTCCACAATGCCAAAAAGACAATTTTGATCCCCACTCATTTGTATTTAACACAACAGCTCCATGTGCAGAATGTTGTGTACAAAATCATTTTGCTTTTCTCTGAAAATGTGCGTTAAATAAGAGCCAACAGATAATGACACAGAGTAATTATCCTAACAATGTGAAGAGCAGCGCTTTTGTTGGGCTGTGCAGTGTTTTGTGTGTGATGAAAAACAAATAGTTGAAAACAAGCAATAAAATAAATGTAATTCTAAACAAGTATTGAAACAGATTTAGAAGTCATTCAAAATTATACTTACAGTAGATTTTGATAGTCCAAGCAGCTTGGTAAATTTTTTTAAAAAGAATTAATATTAAATATTAAGTCACTTTTGAGAAAGCATTATGCAAATTTAATTTCTTGACATGCAAGGGTCTATATATTCTCTCTTTCTTTTCACCTTTATTTATTCATACACCTGGTGAATGCCTAGTACAACCACAGTCTGATCTGTGGCACTGAAAGGCTCCACAATTTGGGTTAAGGGCCTTGCTCAAGGGCATCTCATTGGTGGATGAAGGAGAGGCAAGCACTGCCTTTTACTTTCTCCACCCAGATTTACTCTGTCGGTCCCTGGGTTGAACCAAGGATCCGGTCACAAGCTCGCTTCTCTAACCTTTAGGCGGCCGCTGCTCTTAAGGCTGATGTGAAATGGCAGCTGTAAGACTTTTCTGTAATACCAAGAATCAACTGATTCAAACACACGTTTTTAAACAATTCTTTCATTCACAGACACAGACCTACGAGATCATCCTAACACTGGGACAGGCATTTGAGGTGGCCTATCAGATGGCAATGCAGTCGAGGGCGAGACACTATGTCCCACCTTCATCTATGGCCTCAGAGGTCATAGAGACCAAAACCAGCCGTCCTGTGTCTCAGTCATGGAGCAGCATGCGGAGATCAGCAGTGAGTACCACCCTATAACCCTGTGTACCCTGTGTGTGTATCTGTGAGTGTGAGTGTTGGATTTGCTCTACTTGTTAAAAGGACAGAGGGAGAGAAGAAGCACGCCGTTGTGCAATCGTAGTTCAGAAAAGGTGCACAGACCTTGTGACCGACTTTTTACCTGCTACTGAATCCCCAACGGGTTACATACAAAGGAAGATTTGCTCTGTGTGTGTGTGTGTGTGTGTGTGTTAGAAAGTGATGAGTCATTACTTTGCTAACAATTTCATCTTGCCCACCCCCCCAACTCTGAGTCACTCAGATCAGGGGGGATCTTTTTCGTGCATATGCGAAACATGATGAATGAATAGTTTTATTTGTTGCTTACAGGCGGGTATATGATTTCCTCTGGGACTTTTCTGAGGGCTCAGCCCCGCTGGTTGGACCCATCCTCTGCTTCCTCACTATTGATTGAGTGTGTTGCGTAAATGTCCACGTATACCCTGAGCTACGCATTGATGCATTGACCTCTCAGGCTGCATATAATGAGCACTCAGTGATCACTGTCACCTGAGAGAGCTGCACAGCCGGGAGCACGCACACTGTTAGACCACATGCTTATGCAGGGACACAAATCACTTTGTTTTACTACCTGCCTGTAAGGATAATATATGGAGTAATCACAGAGCTGCATAATGAGTCTGGCTGGTTGTTTAAGTTTTAAATAAGAAGGGGGGAGACTCCTATCTGCTGCAATTTGTTTTAATGCTTTTTATTGCTATGTGAATGCTACCTAATCTAGTTGGTTTAGACAGAAACTGTGACAGGTATACAGTTGTTTTTAAATTCCTCCCCAAATTTTCCCTTCAGTTACGGTTGCTTTCTGTCCTGGAACAGCACATTTGCAGTTTATAATGATAACGGTAATTATTTTTTGGGCCGTATTTTCCTTTAATGGGCAGATTCACAGCTAAGAGGCAGACAGGAAACATGAGGAGCGAGGGTGGGTAAGACGTGCAACAAAGGTTCCCAACTGGAATTCAACGTGTGGCACGTGTGGCTTGCGTGGTAACCACTTGGTTAGGCTACCAATGCGCTCCTCATTTGGAATTATTTGTAATATTTGAAACAATGGGTCCTTGATTTCAGACAGAAGTAGACAAAATCAGGCTTTTTATTTCTAGCTGTGGAGAGTCAGTTGTTTTCCAGCTGAAAAGACAATTATTGGTAGCAGATTTCATCAGCTGTGGCTAGCTCTGTAATTAATCTAACGTGAGCTCCATGAGTTTGTTGAAAATGCTGGCTCTGTCTGACTTCTTAATGTGTCCAGCTGACTTGTTTTAAGACAAAAAATACTCTTAAGCGGTCTTGAATATGCACTTCATGGCTACATACATGATGATGTGCTAAAAGACTAAGACTAAAGCTACATACCCTAGAGAAAAATTCAGTTCATAAATAATCCATGTAACGTTAGACATGGAATTAAAGGACTGTTTTTGTATTGCAGAGTAGAGCTAGTTAACCCTAGAATTATATCCCAATTATGATGAGGAATAATATAAGATCAGACTGTGATTTACATAACCCTGCTTGGCTGCTGAGCTTACATACTCGTCAAACAACGCTTTCACCTTTTAATGTTAACTTTGGCTGAGGTAGTCCAACAGCCTACACTCTGCAGCATCCACACAGTGGGAGAATATTACGCAGTGGTTGTGAACAGGGCTTTATAAAATCTAACCTGTGACCCCGTTAAGTAACGCTGGGTTACTACTATAGGTAGAAAGCCAGTTAGCTGAGCGCGAATGTTTGCAGCTTACGTTTGAGAAGATAAACACACTATTTAATGAACTGAATACAGTTTGCTCTTGTGTTTTTGCTTTTTAAAAGGTTTTAAAAAAAGGATAAATGTTCAAATCTCCATCCTTACTACAGCCCCCCCCCACTTCAATGTGTGTAGAAATCCAAAGCTTGACAGACCTGCCGTGCCTAGTTAACTGTTGGTAAGCTACGATTGGACAATCGCTATTGAGGGGAGGGTTTGAATAACATGAACACCAGAAGTAGGAACATTTTGTGAGTAATTTGCCTTCTATAGCTCCAAACACGTGATGACCTGGTCCTACTGCTGCTTCTGGATTTCTTCATTGCTCTGTCCCTCTATTCTCTCGTTTTTTTAACATGTCTTTGTTCTTGTCTTCTTGGTCCTCCTGCTTCCCAGGGTGCCCCTCTGCTCGAATGCCGCTGCTGTCACTGTCACACGTGTACTACCCACCGTCCTTCCTTCCTCCCGTTGCACTCTGTTAGCCCTGGAGTCCAGGTCCTTCTCTTTCCTTTCCTCTATACAACCTGTAATCACCACACATCTGCTTACACACCAATCCCTCCCCTCTTTCTTTTTGTTGTTGTTGTTGTTGTTGTTGTTGCGGTGCCGCAGTGCACTTTGTCACCTTGTTTTGTGGTTCTTAATATTACAACCATAAACGTTAACATCATCCCTTTTCTTTCCCATCTCTCATCTTCATCTTACATTTTAGATTTTAAGGTGCGATCAGTTCAGTCTGTGGTCAAACACATTCAGAGAAGAGAGGGTTTCTTGATTGCGATTTAACTTCTATATATGAGCTTCCATGAGGACTGTTGGTTTAATTGTGCCAGTGAGGGGTTGTAAATAAGATTGTTGTAAATAAGATTGTTGTAAAGAAGTTGTCTCTGCTGGATGGTTTTAAGCTCCCCTTCTCAGTTTTTGAATATCTACCTTTTTAACACGCTATCTTGAGATTTTTTTGCCATTTCAAATTCATATCTAGCTCTAAGTAAATCAGTAGTAATCAGAATATGTGACTGCTTACATTATGACAGTAGCACTCATGTCTGTATGAGCCACTGGTGTAGAGCACATGTTGCTTTTGAACTACTAATCAGTATGTTTTCTTTAACTCCCAGAGGGTTGTAGCTTTGGTTTACTGCTGCGGCTATTTCCTGTATGTATTTTCTGTCAGACATCATCCATGTTGTGGATTGAGCCCTGAGTGTCTGTGATTATAACATGATCACTGGACTGTACCTCTAATCCACATGCACGTGTGTGAGCTGAGGACTTGTCAGTGTGGCGCAATGGCCTCCACTGCCGCCCGTCTCACGCCCTCCTCTCGTCCCTCCTCCCTCCCTCCCCCCGGCAGATCGACCCCCTGGAGATGGACGCAGACATGCAGTCCCTGGGCAGCACCACCTGGCTCTTGGACCAGCGGGAATCCAACAGGCGCCCCGTCAGCACCAAGTACGAGACCACCATATTCTGAGGCCGGATCCCCACAGCCGCCCCTCTGCACCCCCCTCGTACTTTCCTCTTCCCCCTGCATCTGGTTCTTTACTCATCTCTCACACACATACATATATATATACATGCGAGCCCCGTGCCTTCTCACTGTGATGGTATAGCATCCCTCAGGGCTGCCTACTCCTGCACCCTCCTTTGCCCTGCCCAGCGACCCACACCAACCTCTGTACCCACCATGACAAACACTCCTGCGGCTCTCCCGTGCCTCCCCAACACCCCTGGCAGCCTCCCTCGCCTGTTGCTGCTGCCGGCGGAGCCCTGGAACGGATGATCCTGGACTGATGTCATTTTACAGTGGCCCTGCTCTCTCAACCAAACTGCCTCTTCCTCCTCATCCTCCTCCTCCTGACAACTTGCATCTGCCTCCAAATCCCAGATAGCTCCCAGAGGTTGCATCTTTATTATTCCTCCTCTTTCAGGCCATTTTTAAAAATTGATTCTCCACAGGCAAAACAAGCATGTTCAGTTTTTATTTTCATCTGTATCTCGACGCCACATTGGCTTGAAGTTTAATTTCCAGAAAGCTTTAAGTTTGTAATATTGAGTAAACTACAACAAACTACACATTTTTATTCTTAATTTACTGAATTATTTGATTGTTTGGTTGTTTTGCCTCAAGACAGTTATTTATTTTTTTTCTTTCTCCATCTTTAGCTTGTCCTGTCTTACCAGGCATCTACCACTGTGAGGCACTATGAGGAGGCTGCTTTGCTAGCATGGGATGCAAGACGGACAATTAATCAAAACAGCAACATGCAGCAAACAACCTGTTTTTTTTTCTACGCATTTGTACAATACTCATAATAACATGATGGATCGGTCATAAATCTATCACTGATGTCTGAACTCAAACGGACCAAGAACTGAACCTCGCACACACACACAGGAGGACAATTTTCCTACACCTTACTGAGGACGACAGCCTTACTCCCTTTCGGTTACCTATAATCAACTAAAGCCCCCCACCTTTCTCCGACCTTCCTGAATACTACCGCCACTACCCAACAACTGCACGATCCCCCCTGCTTCTAAAAGACTAAAAAAAGACAACACTTCTGATTTCCTGGTGTGTTTAAATTGACTGTGACTAGGCTGGGATGACGACGCTCTTATGATGGTACAGTTTTGTCCAGATGAGTCTCTGCTCTGGCCTTGTACTGCCCTGTTCTGCAGTCTCTCAGCACTCATGGTAGCAACGAGAGACTGCAAATCACAGCATCTTCTTCTTGTCAATTTAAAAAAAAAAAACACTGTGTTAAAACATGGCACTATCCCTTTTAATACCTTCTTTTCTTTTCTTACGGTGCAAATAGGACAATTAGTGCATTTGTGATACTTTTTGATAGACGGGGGTTGACTGAAATAACTTTGGGAGAGAGTGAGCAAGAAGGGATCACGAGGGATCCCGACATTGTTACAACCAGAGGCAAAAAAACAAAGACAAATACCGCCCAAACAATTACGCAAGCATATCGAGTGTACTGACATCGGTTTCACATTTCACAATTTTGTTAATGTAAACAAAAACATCGCGATTTAATTCATCTCGAGTATATTAAAGAGCCTCGAGCGTTATTTTGGCGCACATTTCCCAACATAGCATCTTATTATCATGATTACATGGGTAGGTATCCGTGCTGTTTCACACCAATTTAGAATTAGGTACAGTACATGCAAAGTATGTCACTTGCAAATAAACAGCAGTGAAAAGATTTAATTTCACAACATTAAAAGAGCCAAATCTAAGTGTTGCTCTGGTGTCGTGTTAATGCGAATGGATTTGTTATGCTGAGAACATGACACAGTTTTTTTTTTAAAAAAAGAAGAATTTCCCTCCTGCACTGTGACTCAAAAATGCTCGTTGTGGAGTCGACACGTATCTGTGGGTTCTCCCCTGTGTGCACTAACGACTGTGCGTGCTGTATGCTTTGTTTCTGTCTGTCCTCATGGGAGTTTGGACTGTTACCGTTACATCACTGTCCACTGTCCTTGTTTCTGTGTGCTGCAGGAGAAGTGAGGTATTGAGCTCCTCTCCATAAGACAGTGTGGCTGCAGACTGACTGTTGAAATGTAGCTGGTCTGTGTGCGGTACCGTGGCTGTGTCATTGCCACTCTGTTCTGACTGTTAACTGTTAGCTTCCACTGATGATGCATGTTGGCAGTGTTTCTTTGTGTTTTGTACCCTTTGATGCACTTGGCCTGAGCAGTCTTTGTATGTACTGTAGCAGTGTCTCGTCTCTTCTCACTCATCTGCCATTTGCTTTTTATGTTCCCTCTTCGTTACACACCAATACAGCGATTCATCTTCATCCCTCCACGTTTCCATTGTCGTCATTTCCTCCAACATTTTGTCACGTATGTTCTTCCATTTTGTGTGTCACCAAGACAACCTGCTCTAGTATGAATGCATAATGTAAAAGCATTACACTTTAATGAGCAGCAGCTATTTAAAGCAAGTTTTGGTGGCATGTTATGGCTGTGCATGTACCGGTCTTTTTAACATTGGTGTTTTCCTTGTGTAGCTCACCCCAGCGTTCAAGTTTCCGGATACCAAGCTGTGAGTTGAAGGGGAGCAGCCGATCTGAGTGTGTTTGCGTGTGTTGAGTTTAGAGGGCAGAGCAGTGGAAAAGAGATAGAGACAGAGAGAGAGAGAGAGAAAATGAGAGGTAAGCCTTACGCAACATGCAGGGCCAAACCAGCGCTACTCTGACATTTAGATCTCACTCTGTATATCCCCCTGCTCCTCCACTGCCCCTGAAATGAATTCCAACACACAGATGAAAGGTAACCCACATCACTGGCCAAACAGGACCGGTGTATCACTCCTGTCTTGAGAGAGGTCAGTCAGTAAAGGTCAAGTCTTATTTCCTGGCCTCCATGTGACTTTCTGATCTTGTCATGTAGGTACTGTAATGTTTAGAGCACTGTAGACCATTAATGATATAGACCATTAATGAGCATTTCTATTGATTCAGGTCTATTGGAGATAGTAACTCGGAATTATTAAGGGTTAACAGAAATGTAACAAAATGTAGAGAGAGAGAAAAAAAAAAACTGTACCAGCATACAATGCTTTGCCCATGTTTGTGGACAGAGTATGGTTTGTCAAAGAAAATGTGATACTGTTTCAAATTTCAAAGCAATATTATATTAATGAAATTAAATAATACAATTATAAAAGAATCCCTCTCATGTCTGTTGTCAGCATTGATTTTGTTTCATGGTTGTATAGTAAAACACAAAGAAACATTTCACCAGCTGTTTAAAATTATAACAAATATAACAACATGGCTAATTATTGTACAATTACACTATCAGTGTTTCCCCTGCTATAGAGATTAGTGGGTGGTGCAACTTCAATCTCAACAAACGATTAGCCCCAGTTTGTGCTTATATTACATTCAAGTCACAGAGCTAAGCATCCGATTTTCCAAAGTGCCTTATGATGTTTGAAAAACCCAGACAGTTATTGCTGTGTTGATGCAGAATCCTCTAAATCTCTTCTAACCATTTAGATTAAAAAAAACTTTGGTTCATGATGGTTTGTCGCAGGATTAAAAACAAATATCCCAAGTTGTGACTCTCCTAAACCAGGGTGGTAACCACGGTAGCAGGAAAGGTCCTCGCTTGGTTTGTACAACACTTTTATACATTTCTTTATAATAATGTTATTTTCCATTATATCATATTTTTGTACACAGTAACACGTTGGGCGGCAGCAGAATTCTGGTGACCTGGATTAGTAAATCAAGTTGCAGTTTGGGAAACAGGTTAAAAATCTTTTTCATGTTGCAGCAGATTAAATGTTGTTTTATTCATATGGGGGAGGGGTCTTTGAGGATTCTGGAAAATGCCATCAAAAACAGCGGGAAATGTTGTTAAAAGACCTTTCAAAAGATTTCTAGGCATTTATCTTTCAGAACATGCTTACCTGTGTGACCTGTATGTGCAAATTTAGCATGTTTTAGCCCGTTTTATGAATGCAAATCCCTCACGCTTACCATTTTGCAAATGATACCACAATGTTTTCAGAACTGTTTATGTATGTTGGCTAGAATTCCAGGTATCCATTGGTGTGTATGCATTTCCGTACTATATGAAAATATGCCAGCTGACTCTTGCTTGAGGATTGAAATTTTGTGTTGCTTCATCAGTGAACATCTAGTCTGAAAGATTTTCAGTTACATTATTTTTCTGATTTATACTGTTCTTATCACACATCACAACAATAATGTAACACAAAGTGAATACAAATTGTTCACTGTGATGCATTATGCAACATAAGCAGGAGTCTGGTATATGGTGTTCATACTGGAAGTGCTGGAAATGAACATAAACCAACGGCTTCCTGGAACTGTAGGAACAACACATTTAATCTTGCATGGTGCCTGCATTACCAGCACAGTTCCTTTTATATTTATATATCGCTCGCAGCCAGCTGCTGCACAGATATCCCAACCGTATGAAAATTTGGCATGTAAAGGGTGTACTTTAAAAAATAAATTGAAAACACAAAGCAAACAAATAACAGGCTCATAACATGTGATGCATCCCAAACAACAGCTATCTCAACCGTATCAGTTGTTGTAATAAACTCTAAAACTATAAAATTACAGTTAATCAATTTGGTATTTATTTACAAATAACTGCAGTTTCACACATCACCGCCTCTATTACCAACAACTGTAGTAAACATTGATTATATTTTTGGTTTATAATTACAGAAAGATGAAAAAAAAAAAAGAATGAAAAAAAGTGCTCACTGTCTTTGGTAAGTTACACGGGGTTCAGACACGAGTCGGGAGCGCTGCCAGATTGTGCTCCTCTGCTTTTTTCTAATCACACATTAAGCTGATTTTAATAACCTCGTGAATTTATAATGTTTTTAATGTGTTCCTGGATGTTGCTTCTTCTGCGACAATGAAGTTAAAAGGATCATCATCTTGTGTGAGCTGCAGGGAGGGGCTTCTCTTTTTCCTGAGTGTGTGTGTGTGTTTCTGCTCATCTAACTTAGAAATATGTTGAAAAATTAAGTGATACTATTTCTAATAAAAATTGATCCCTCCAGGAGGTTGCAATTGCGACAATTAACGTAAACTCAACTGATCACTGTGAAAACTGCACTTTTGTCCAATCAACGCAACTTTTCCACAAATTCATTGCTAAATTCATTTCAAACCTATAGAACCTTGCCTTCAATTTTTAATAATTTCATTTATCCTTTTGCAATTTTCACCTCCTCCTGCAAGGAGCCATGCCTAAAAAATGGCATCATGCATCACACTTTTTTAGAAAACCTGCCTTGAAATCAGTCATTTTAGACCACCACAAACACAAGCTTGCAAAATCCTGGAGGGACTGAACAGTGAAAGGGCAGATTTTGAAATTTCCTCATGTGTGGGAAAAAATCAGGGGAAAGGAAGTAGGCAGCGATGCTTCTGCCTCGTGTCTGAACCTGGCGTTATACATAATTGTCTGCAAACATAAAGATAACAACAGAAACCAGCTACATTTTAAAACTGAAGTACTATTTACAAACTGTTAGCATAATCTTTGGTACTTTATACTTTTCCTGAGGGTGTTTATCTTGAGTGAAAATTAACATTTCTTCCAGCCTTCTCAAAAACATTTCAGAATCACAATCAATCTCTTATTATGACTCATACTAAGTTTTCTATTACTCATTTTGTTTCACGCAATCTATTACTCAAACGTGTGATTTAGATGCATTATATTACTAATGTAATAATAATTCAGCACCTGCCTCATGCTTTGACTTAGTTTCTTGTTTACCAAAAAAATATAATAATATACAACTTTTTCTTTCCTGCAGACTCTAAATGTGTTTCCCTTAAACATTCTCATTCACTGTATTTACACTCTATAGCTACACATTCAGCGCCAAAAGGTAGCTTATGTAACGGTCACCGGAGGTTGTCTGGGTCACCCTCAGCCTAACGCGAGTCCTCCCCCGTCTCGGCCTCTCCCGGTGGGAACAGCAGTTTCCTGAGGATGGGTGCGTAGAAGGGACCGAAGACTGTTCGGTTGAAGTGGACGATTCGCCCAAAGGCCATCCCCAGCTCGGCGAGCTCAGCACTCACCAGCCTGAGGGGAGCGGGCAGTTCTGGACTCCTTTTAGCGGGGCCGCCCTGCAGCATGGCCTGGAGGAAGCCCTGTACCCTTTCTCCTATGTTTGATCCAGGAATGAGGGGGTGGAGGGAGAGAGAAGGAAAGAAGTCACATTCAAGTTTAAAAACATGCATGTGGACAGAGACAACCCAAACCAAATGACAGAATAATGCATGTTTCTCCTTTTGAGGGGAAATGGTGCATCCCCAGCATGTCAGCTTTCTATAGATTAAAATATACTACCATATCTTGATCAAAATGCATCGTCAATAAGCCTCGAAGGGTTCATCAACGTCATAATTTTAACTAACGACCACACCCTTAAAGGTCAAGTGTGTAGAATTTGGTGGCTAGCTAGAGGTGTACTTGAAGTGTACAACTACCTCACTTCATGCTCCCCTTCCAAGCACAAAGGAGAAACTACACTGGCCGCAAAATGCCCAAAATACGGTATCTAGTGTTTGGTTTGTCCCTTCTGGGCTACTGTAGAAACATGGTGGTTGAACATGGCGGACTCCATAAAAGGCGACCCGTGTTGTCGGGTTAGTTGTTACTATCCTGCAATAAGTTCTCTGACATGTGAACATATAGTGTTTTCCCAGATCTGCTCTAAAACTGAAATGTTTTAGCCCGATTTAAAGCTGCAATAGATAACTATTATAAAAATAACTTCTTTTCTGAATCTGACAAAAATACATGAGACAAATATTCTGTGAATAAAATCAGGTTCCTCTGGCTCCTCCTACTTCTCCTAATGGGAGGCCTGAACAAAAACAACCAATCAGAGCCAAGAAATAAAGAAAGAAAGACACTTTGGGTTGGTGGCTTGAAGTTGATTGTTGAGTCTCATT